TGTTGCTGCTGGTGAAAAAGCTTTGTGCTGTTTGTATGGAGGTCGACCTAACGAAGGTTTAGATGTGCTGCGCTATAGGCGTTTTTGCCAGAAGGTAGCCACCAGCAACACCACAGTACAAGTCCAGAGCCTTCCCCCTACTTCTGCAGCCGCGCGATACCACAGTGCCCGAGTCTATCTTCAAGTGCAACAGTGGATGGGAAGAGGGAAAAATTTAAATCCAGAAGACTGGGGATGGTTAAGAATTCAAGACCGGCTTCATGCACGCACTACTGATCAACCTCCAGCTCCTGACAACCTTTTGAAAGTTATCAGATGCACATGTAAACAAGGATGCGATAGTCGGAGGTGCAGCTGTAGGAAATTTGGAATTCCTTGTTCATTTGCGTGTAGTGAGTGCCGAGGTGTCAATTGTAGCAACTCAAGCACCAACCTTTCTGATGTTTTGTTAAATGTGGAAGGTGATCCCCTAAATGAACTGGACTAGCACAAGGTTTATAGTACCTAGCACGCCTTGTTGGTTGTTCCCCTGTGAAGAACAGAATTAGTACAATGTTTTTAGTAGTACCAATCTAGCTATCTTCAGTTGCAAATGTGTAAATGAGATTATTATTTCCGAAGTTGTGTAGAATGTGAAGACTTTTAAGTGCCACTATAGAGAACAGAAACAATACAATTTAGTAAAGTAGCAGTAACAATTTAGTTATCTTAATTCAGTTGCAAATGTGAAATTATTATTTTCGATGTTGTGTTAAGTGTGGAGGAAGTTCCACGGTAAAAAACTGAAATAATACAATGTTATTAGTAGTACCAATTTAAATATCTTCAGTTTTTGAGGAAATTACTATTTACGAAGTTGTGTTAAATGTGGAGGATGTTCCACTTTAAAGAACAGAAATAGTACAAGTTATTAGTACAATGTTATTAGTGCAACTGTGATAAGATGACATTTTTGCCGCTAAGGCTTTGCCTTTTTTTTAAAAAAAAAAAGAGTTAAATAACTAGTATAGTGTTGTGGATGTTTTGCATTTACGCTTACCCAAGTTGCTATTTTTACTTTAAATTCACAACGAATTCCCAATAAATTGTTTCAAAAAGCAGACAAGCCGCCATTTTTAAATTATTCATAATAGTTCTTAGCGAATGAGAGCGTTTCTCTTGGATAGATTTTTCTGAATTTTTGTTATGTTGGTTAGAGCAACTAAATAACTTATTTCATGACGTTGATTTTCAGCTGCGCTTTTTTAACATTCCAAAAAACACAAACAAGCAGCCCTTTTGAAATTATGCAAATTAGTTGAAAATGTTCCGGTAAATTAACGTTTTTCCGCCGGGTAGATTTTGGTAGACTTTTAATATGTTGGTTAGGGTCACTTAAATAGTTGTTTGGCGCAAACGGACTTTCTGTTGCAATTAGTTCAAGGTCTAACTTTAGAATGACTAGACTAAAATAATACGTAATTAGCTGGCATTCTTGAAATTTTATTTTCTTTTATAATTATTTTAGGTTTTCCAAAATGAATAATAAGAAAATGCCGGTCATGATAGTTCACTTACAGAACAAAAGAGTTTGCCTTTAATTTGTTCAGTTTTGCATTTTTTTAAACCTCCAGTACATTTTATTATCAATAAAACAGGAGTTTCTTTGTGACTTGAAATCTGAAGAGTATTTTAAAAAATCTTAATCATAAACGTACTTGTACTACTACGTTTTTCAGAATCAGTTAATTTTGTTCGCATTGATTTGCTTTTTTTTTTTCCTACGAAGTGGACTGATAAAGCTGAGGCAGAACTACGATCTTTATGTCCTTTTGATACCAGAACGCACATGATAACATTGCATACGCCACTTGCACATCTCCCAAAATGCACCTCATGTTTTTTAAAAAAATTAAACTTGCGCTAAAAATGGTGCCAAGAAGAACCCCATTCATTTCTACGTCAATAATGATAATGATAATAAAATGAAACCGAAACGTCATGTTTTAAGTCTGGAAACGTTTTTGATCGCCAAGTACCAAGAGCTATGGAACTTGACCACGCCCAAAGCCAAGAGGCATTGTTTTGAAGACATTAGTTCTTATAAGAGAGTAAGTTACGGCACATACACCAACCCATGGCTGATTATATACGGCTTTGTTGGTTTATGCACTGCTGATCCCTAATAAGAGCAAAACAGCTGTTCATGGCTGCTACTGCCCAGGTGTTATGTTTGTGCGCATGCTTTACGCATTCACTTGTTAGGCCGTGTGCCCCCTTTTCTTGTCTCTAAAGGTGATATTACACAAGACGTTTCCCAACTACGATTTGTAGCGCAACACGGAGTTGCAGCATTTTTGCGACATCCTTTCGAATGGTTACAACATTGTTCCAACATTGCAACGCTGTGGTAGCGCTAAAAATCTTCGTCGCGAATCGTCCCGTGTAACTGTAGCATCACCTTAATTTAGTCTTTTCATTATCTTAAAATATGCTCTTCTAAAATTTACTAAACGTTTTTGACGTAAACTGCGCACTTGTCAGCGCCATTTTCAACATCTGCTTTGAATTTCGTTGCAGAGCTACCGTAAACTTAAACTCGGGCGTCATTTTTAGCCCGGCCCCCAGTTATAGACGCATCTACCTATAAGCAAAAGCGTACATCCGGTTATAAGCCCTCGAAATCGGATCAGTGAAAGTTTCTGAGAAACTGCCCATGTTAGGTGAACTAAGGAAAAATGAGAGAATGATTTCTTCATAGTTCCAACACCAACTGTAAGCACGTGTTTTTTGTTGTGGTAAAGAGTACTTTTTCAGCCCTCCGTACACCTTATAACTTGAGCCTAAGCTTTTTTCCCGCTGACGAAATAGACCTGGTAAAATCTTGCAGATCACAATTTTCTTTTTAAAGAAATAATTAATGACAATATAGAGTGGCAGGAACTATAGTGCGTTGAATTCTTTATGGCCTATTAAAAATTTTGTAATTGATAAGTTTTGTATAATCGACTGGTTTAAATGAAATAAAGGTTTAGTACTTTTACTCTTACAAGGCGAATTGGCGTTTCCTTTTTATCTGAAATTAGAAGGATTAGATTTGCATACTAACTTATTGTAGATACCTTTTAGGAGAGGACGATCAGTTATCAATCGTTCTAAAATTCAAGATAAGTTGAGGCAAGAGAGAATAAGCTCACTCTCTCTTGGTTGTGGGGAAACCTCAAAACTGACTTATCGAGCTATCTTTTGAAGAAGATCACCCTGGAGACATCTCATTCAACTGATTAATGTCACTCTATAGTTTCCCAGCAGTAATTTGTTCATGATTTTGTGGCTGTGCTTAAAACATCTTTGTCTTAGGAGTGATGGTAAAATACGACACTCTCTCTCATACATATCGTAAAATTCCCTAAATAAGTCCCTTCTTGTATGAGCCCCTCCAAAATCGCCCCTCCAAATATATGGCCACCGGGGGCTTCTACTTGGAAATTGCCCTCAAATACAAAGTAAAACAAAGCAAAAATGGTAAATTTCCTTCCTAGCCCAATCGATTTTGAAACGCAAATTTCAGCTCCATAGATAAGCCCCTCAATAAATAAGCCCCTCAAAAAGGGCCTTTGAAAAATATAAGCCCCAGGGCTTATTTTCGGAATTTTACGGTATATAGTTGCAACTACAGAATTGCCACTTGCAATGTCCTGTGGGCACTGTAGCTATTAATAGTAATATGCATTATTGTCGTATTTAAGACTCTTTCTCATTGTGAATTGTAAATAGTACAATTGTAAATCTGCATTTTTTCTTTTGTTTTTGCCTTGTTTTTATTTGCACACCATGTAACACGTAATATTATATATAATTTATGACAACAACGTGAAGTGATTGTAGCTACGTTACGTCATATCATAATACTTGTAATTTCTTATAATTGTTTTTACGTTTAGTCAGTGAAAATTTCATAGCGAAAGTCTTTTACTCAGCTTGGTCAGTTCCATAAGTTGTTCTTTTAACTATCATAATATAAAATATCGGGATCAATTTTAACCCGCGATCACGATCTATTTTTTTTATCTGCTGACTTTTAGCAAAGCCGATCGTTCACTTCGTTCACTATCCGTTTAAAATAGTAGCTAAAAATTGTCGTTGACTCAGGTAGCACAGTTTTTTTATCAGCGAGATGAAAAGCTCAATGCATTTTTTTTTTCCCAATACGGACAGAACAGTATTTACTTTTATAAGTATCCTCCAATTTTGCAGTGACCTCTCTGCTCCGCAGAGGCCCGCGCTGGGTATTACATGAAAAATCATGCGCTTTCATTTTTCCCTCTCCCCAGCCTCCCTACGACAAAAAGAGACGGCGACTGCGGGGGAGAAAAACTCGTTACTAAATTTATCTATTAAATGGGGAACCTTTCAACTGAGTCAGTAGACTGCGAGCAGTCGCTCTTTTTCTTATTTAGTGAGGGCAGTGTACGTCCGCGCGAGCGTCGAGCGGCGACAACGCGAGATGCGTCAGAACAGCTTTAAAGTGGAGCTCAGTAAAGGTCTCCTAAACATAAGAGGTCAGTTTGGTAAAGATGAACGGATGCAGATAATTTCCACTGTATGTCAGGTAAATCGCACCATCTACGATGCCATGCGAACGGTTGGTAAAGACGTACATGTCTTGGTGTGGCCGTATGTTGACATCGGAGAAGATAAAGTTGACCCTCTGCGCGATGAAAGAGTATTGCAAGTGTTGGAAAAATCAGAGAAAGTTGATATGGAGCACTACTGCATTACACCGGGGTGGTCGTTTGATGTGAGAGAAGGTCCTTATGGTATCCACTTGGCTACGAACACCCTGGGACAGTTTCTGTTTACCTCAAAAGAGCTAACGACCGTGCATGTTTATGATAACAATGGTATGTTTCAGTTTAGTTTTAATCCCCAAACCGATGATGCTAAAACAGAGATTAGATTGGCTGATGTCGTCGCTGAAGACGTTAGCGAGAAGATCTATTTACTGATCGAACTGTACAATGAAAAGCAGCCAAAAGGTTTTAAATAAAACCGCTGACCTACAGTACAAGTTTCCTGTGAGAAGCGGGTACAGAGTGATGGTTAGCGGCAGCAAACTAGTAATATCGGGATCAAGAGAGGCTCACGTGTACAATCAGAATGGTGAGTTTGATCGTAGTTTTGAGTTTTTTAAGAGTGAAAGCGACAAGACCTTCATGCATGATTGTACTGCTACTTACGAAGGTCGCATCTTGATAATGCACCGTAAAGGAGTCTTCAGCGATTACCACTGTGTTCATGTATTCACAATGGAGGGACAGGAAATTGCAAAATTCAAATTTTGCGTCGGATTAAATTTATGCAGTATGTTCTTCTCACCTCGCTCTGCAGGTGAACATGTTGTCGTCGCTGGTTGCAACTGTGGAGGTGAGATCATAACAGTGGAGTTATACACTGTGGATGGAAAACTTGTGCGAAGAATTCTACTGCGTCATAAATTTAGACTTGTTTTCGATGGAATTACGGTGACCATGGAAGGACACATTGCTGTGTGTTTTCTTCCTTTTGGTAGCAATAGAAAGGTAGTTGTATACAAAAACTAAAAGACGCGGCTTTTTGCCTTGACAAATATTGTGAGGAATCTGATACAAAATAACTGAGTTACAGCACTAACAAGCTTTTTCTGTTCAAAAAACTTACATCTGTATTTCATGAAATCTGTTTAGGCACAGGCCGTTAACACAGCACTGTTAATTATGACTTTCGTAATTGTTAAAAAAAACTTAATAATGTTGTTTAAAAAGACGTTTTAATCTCTGGATCCCTTTAAAATTTCAAACGATGTAATATTATTTTATTCATTAGTTGGAATTTTTTGCTTAGAAAAAAAAAACGGAGAATGGCCCGGCCACCAAAATCCGTTGAACAAATAAAGGATTTAAAGAGATTTTTTTCTCAGGCGACAAAATCCTTTTTTCCTTGAGAACTACCCTTCTTTGGATCACCTTATTTCGCGAACACGAACAATTATTATAGTTTCTTTAACTGAGGTAGGTGTCTCAGATGCAAACAAAGTCGTAAAAGCGAAAAATTGGTGTGTACAGGTACAAAATTTTTCAATTGTTTACAAACGCCAAAGTCTATTTTTCGTCATACTGCAAACAGCGCCCAATACTCCCTCTTAGATTGAAAACTTAAGCGCTTAGGTTGTTCATTTAACTGCGACGATCACATCCGCTTTCATATCGGCGGATGAAGCCGGATGTGAACTTATATCTGTTTAAAAAAATATACAGCATTACCTAAATGTCGGTCAGATTAATTTGTATAATGAATCACTTCAAATGAGCTTGACTTCGTTTCTTGGGAAAACAAGAAAAATCGTGAATGAGACCTCGTGACTACCTACACCCGAGATTTAGCATTCTCAAACAACCATTTTCACTCCTAGCCAAGTTGGTTTATAATGGGTCACACATTTTGAGGTATGATTTCCATGCTCTGCTATATTTAAGACCATGATCTTTAGACACTCAAGTTTTCTTGGGGAAAGATTCCTCATCATGAGTTACCTTCAGCAGACTCCTGCTTGACAGGACTGATTTTGAACTACAACCGCTTTTATTATTCATCCAAAATATGCGCCCTTTTCTGATTGGTTCAAAGGCCAACTGGTGCTTACCATATTTGGAAAATGCGAGCAATATACCATCGATTCGATGGTACATTTCAGTGGAAACGAGGTTGATTGATGGTATATTTGATTGGAAACCAGGCTGCATGGGAAATAGACCATCGATCAACCTCGTTTCCTCGCGCGGCTAGCGTTAGCTATTATTCACGATTGAACTAAAAAATGGCGTTCACGGCTATCCGAAGATGAAGTAGCTGAATTTCTAACTAAAACTGTACGGAATAAATGCAAAAATACACAAAATATATCGCTCGTGGATAACATCCTCCTCGATCTTCATAATTCTTTACATCCTACTCAGCCTTATTCAATAATTGCTAAATATGTAACAACCGAACACTCTAAAATAGCTCTGGTGTGTTGTCTCGCCTTAGGTCGCTGGCAATTGAATAACATAGTAATTTTCTGTTTCCCCCAATTTGATTTTCTCTCTAATTTTTCCTTTTTTTATGTGATGTGTAATCAGTACAATAAGTGTATTCCTTTCTTACAAAACTAACGTTAGATGTTTATAATACTAAACAAAGTTCATATACAAAGAACGGCTGCGCAGCTATACCTGTAAATGATAGAATATGCTTAGTATAAGCAAAAAATCAGATCGGTGGAGAATAACATGCATATTATCTTGATATTTCGTGAAGAGTTGATTTAATGTAGGACAAGAGCTCTTCGCTGGCATTTGAATTAGTGATGTAAAATTTACTTTACGAATCTTGATGATCCTTAGAAATGTTATATTTGTTAACAGTAGATAACAGCAAACCTTTAAGATTATAGGTACGTAAATTTAGTAATTTTTGTTAAAAAAGAAAATAATAATTATGTAATGACTGTATAGAGTAACAGGAATTTAATTAAATTCTTTCATAGCCTCAATTTTTTTTGTAATACCCATTTTTGTGTAATTTCTCCTGTATTCATGATTTAGTTATGGTGATTTTTTGTTGCAATCAAATAAAGAGTGCTGTACCTTACCTTTATTGTAAATAGACCAATACCTCTGTTTGAAGAGGCAATAAAGATTTAGTTCTCTGTTACAAGGATTGACGTTGCCTACATACCTGCATAACATACCTGAGAAGGTCGAGCAGGACGTGATTTGCACGGTATACTGGGGTCCACACACGTCCAAGTTCTGTATTTTTATTTATTTATTTATTTATTTATTTTTATAGCTGCGAGCTATGTTAAGAAACGATTGGGGCGCTGATGACCCGGCTGCCTTTTGCTATATGAGTCGACCTCAGCCAGTAGATGTACCTTTCTGCACTAACCTATATGAATATAAACACAAATGCAGCAAATCACTGAGAATATTGGATTATGGCCTGTGCGGTAACGCCATAACGCCACTTTATTAAAGAAAATGCAAACAACTAGTACAAAATAGAAATGAAAACGTCAAATAGAGTAAGCCGTGCCAGGGGGGCCAGAAAAAACCTAACCTAAAAAACCCCGTGGGGAAAAAGGGATAGGAAATCTGGGGCGGGCCAGGCACGACTTAAGTCCCCCGCCAAGACTACTAATAAACTAAATAATTGTAATAAACAAACGAAAACTAAATAGCAATAGTTTGAGCAACTTTTAAGCGATCACTAACGGTGTGCTTAATGTATCTGTTCTTTGAAGTGGCACATTTCCAGCCAGCAGCATGCATATCTAGCAGATCAGCGGAAACACTCCGACAAGCAGGATTTGAGGCGGCACCAGACTTTATACTGTGCGTGCCGTAAAGAGCAATGTCACCTACAAATGGTTTAACAAATTTCTTAAATTCATCTCTTAGCGTTGAATATGAAACTCCTCTAGAAGCATGAAAACACTCCCTAGACTTAGTTTTAACGATTCGCCTAACGAGGGGCGAAGATGACTCACAAGTTGAAGGGAAAAGCTTAAGTAACCTTTCGGTGATAGAAACTGGGCAAGTAGCCTTATGAGACCTAGCTAGAAAGGACGTATGCCCTTCTCTATACTGATCATTTTTGCGTTTAGGAATAAAAACTGACATGTACTCGTTGAAAATAGAGACATCTCTAACTGTCAAATTGCGAATTTCGTCCATACGAAAAAACCCAGCAAAGCCAACCAAGAGGACGAAAAGAAAACGAATAACGGCAAGCGAACTACTAGAAATATAATATTCAGCGATCCTTAAAACTGTGTCAACGGATAAAGGCTCTAGGGCATTCTACAATACCGGCCAGACTATGACCCCACTTAATACCATAAACAACTGACTCTATAGGAGATATCCCCGTATTATTAGAAATAGAAACAGCAGTAAGTTCGCTGATAAAGAGAGCAATGTGCAGTGGCTTCGCTGGAATAACTGAAACGCCAATCTTAGAATCTGCCCATTCACGCCATCTGATCCAGCCAGATCTATACTTCTGCACGGTAGAGGGAGCCTTGGACTCAAACTGTAAATGGAGAAGGTCTGGAACAAGCTTGCGCAAGGATGGATCGGCCAGAGAATTCGCTTCACTCCAAATCCCGGATTGGAGAACATCTAAAAAATAAAATAAAACTAGGCAGGAAAAGGCAAAACATTTAAAATTATAATACAGTAGAAAATATGATGCTGCATCATAATCATGCAGCACGGACAGTACTACAGCGTAAAAACGACATGTAATGAGAAACAACGACAAACGGAAGCCGAACTGGCTGGGCCCAGTAATGCTTTAAAAAACTGTAAAAAATACAACAAAATAGCAAACATTCGATAAAACAAATGTAGACCAATAAAATAAAACATAAAATAAGGCCCACTGACGGCGCCAAAACAGGCAAACTGCGTGGTGAAGCGGACATCGAACTCCGAGCCAAGAAGACGCTGCCAAATCAGGCAAAAAATACACCGCCAAATCAGGCAAAAATACGCTGCCAAAACAGGCAAAACAAAGCTGCCAAATCAGGCAAAAATACACTGCCAAAGCAGACATGATAACGGTGCCGAATCAGGCAAATAAATAATACCAAAACGAAGCTAACAAAAGATAAACCTAAAACACCGACAATAATGAGCTGTAAGGGGAGACAAAAATGGGAAAGCTCACCTAAAATCTATCCGCAAAGCTAACATTTTAAATTTCGGGCAGCCGCTGAACACCGACGGACGCGCTTTGTAAATCTGCTTCTGTCCTGGACCCTCCAGCAAGAGGTCTTCAATACAAGGAAGCTCAAACACTTCTTTAACAAAAGACTTGAACTGGGAGGCGTTGTCGTGCAAAAAAGGCCAAAAATAGGCCGAAGGCCATTGTGGAACGATCAAAGTGCCGTAACCGGAGCAGGACGAGAGAGCCCTAACTGAAGGCACAATGGCACCCACCGGAGGGCAAACCCAGTTATTCTCATGTCGCCAATCCTGAGCCAAGGCGTCCACACCGCTGCAACCTGGGGAAGCAAATTTAGAGTTGAACCTCGGAAGCTGGGCATTGTAATAGGACGAAAAGCGATCAATTGTGTGAGGGCCCCATTTAGCGTCGACAAGTCGAAATACCGAGGGATTGATGGACCAGTCGTCTTTATCAATAAATCTGCTAAGAAGATCTGCTCTTTCATTAAGAGACCTAGGGATCCACTGGGCTTCGAGAACGATGCTGTTGGCAAGACAAAGATTGAAAATATCCATAGCCAGGGCCTGGAGGTGAGATTTGGAGCTTCCGATAGCAACTATTCTGGCGGCGGCCTGATTATCAGTGAAGATTTTAACTCTCTTGTGTTTCAGTTGAGCCACGTAAGAAAGCAACACGTAAAAAATTGCTTTCAGCTCGCGAAACGTAGAGCTTTGGCCGATATCCTCGCTCTCCCACATGCCGCTAACGACGGAGCCGTCTAAAGTAGCCGAAAATCCTCCGAACGCTACGTCGCTAGCATCGGAAAATACAACGGTATGCGTAGCTA